TAGCAGTAGCAGTAGCAGTAGTGGTTCTACAAGATTGTTGTTGTTCTTGCAGCAGCAGAGGTGGTGCCTGCTGGCTGCAGTACCCACCGTTGGAATGCTAAGCAGCGTGGTACGTAACAAATACAATGACACTAGAAGAACAACAACCAATAGTAAGCACTACAGTATACAAGCACACAAATTCGGAGTGGAGAATTCTTTCTCTATCTTTCTCTGTAAAGAGAAGAAACCCAACAGAGTAGCATAGCAATAGCCCATGTAGAAGAAGAGTACAGCTTCACTGGCAATTACAACTTGAGCAGTAATGAGGCCCAAGCTCGCGGATGTAGGCTGCTTGGAGCTCTTGGGTTACTCTGGCAAGCCGGAAAGGTTGAACGGCATATGTCATCCTTGGTATCCCCAGGACAAACTTCAATGATCCGCCTAAGTACAACCACATCGCTCCTGCCGAGAGCTGTTCTGTTCTTAAGCACTACATCTCCCCCACAGTCGTTGCCCGTCCATCCAAGACCAGTTCTGGCTCTGATTCCCGTGTAGGGAGACGCTGCCCGCAATAGTCCTACACAAGAGCGCAACAAGCAACCTTTCCAAGCCAGCGGCTGAGCCGACGCCCCTCCCAACTCGAAGACGGCGGCCTGACAGCATCTCACTGCAAAGTTTAGGTTTTGATAGGCCGGAAGACGTCGCCTGACTGTATGTAAGATGTCCCTCTCCTGAATAGCAAGCCTGGCCCTCCCAACATCTCTCAACCCCGGTTGGTCTTGTGAATGAAGCTCCAAGGGCTGAGCTGGTGCGCCATCCTCGAAAGCTCCAAGTAGACTGTTCACCGCCTGAAATCCAGAAGGACAGCTTGCCGCCCAAGCCCAACCACAAAGAGCCCCGAATCTTGCGGCATCGATGCATGTGGAGTCGCTTGTCATTCACGATTGTGCGCCAGTGCCGACTCCATTCTCCGAAGCTAGCGGCAGCTTGCGGCCAAGCTTCAATCCATTGCAGGCAACCTTCGTCATCGCCGCCCATCACCTGCACGAAGTCGCATAGGAAAACTCTTTGCGCCTCGAACAAAGCAAAGAAGTGCCTCGACCGTAGAGTTCAGAAGCGCGTGCTGCCGAACGAGGTCTTGGATCCCATCCCTGGGCAGACTCTGAGGAGGGATGACAAACAAGCTCTAACTTCAGTGATGCGTTAACCGCTGCTTGACTCCGATTTGCGGCTCATATACGGCGAGGGGCAAACTGGAGACTTGTGCCTGCCGGCATGGTTCGTGTTCGGGTGGTAAACTGGCATGTCACAGCTACCGGTAACGGGACTGCTTGGCCAGCGCTTGCGACCTTGCAGCAGCAGGCAAAATTAGCGTACGGCTCTATCGCGGCAAAGCAGAATCTAGTGACCTGCAAGCTAGCATTTCTGATCTTACGAGCGGCGAAGCTGCGACTGCAGAACTCCGTGCGAGACCGTACTTGCAGCCGGGTGGCAGGAGGAAGTCGACTTGGACAGGATCCAAAAGCCGGAAACCTGCGAAGCGCATGCGAAGGAAAGCGATCATGGCGTGCTCAGGGCTGGAGCCCGAGCCGGGCTCAGATGGTGGCACTGAGTTCTGATTACGTCGACTCAAGGCGTCAGTATTTTAAAGCGACTCTGAAATGATCCTGCAAGTAGCGGCAGGCCGATATGATTCTAACTCAGACGCCACCACGTCCGCCCAGGCCAAGGCCTGCTGTTGCCCGGACTGCCAACGGGGTCGTGGAGAGAAAATGTTGAGGCACCTCGGGTCATGGGTCATTGGAGACTTCCGGATGCCTCGGAACGTGCGACATCGCCTGATGGCATGCAAGGCACTTGCGACGTCACTTCCGAGAGCAGTGGCTGCAGGAGTGACGACCTCAGCAGTGCGACCACATCGGCAAGATCATCGTTGGCCAGGGCAGTGGTTTTCAGTCTATCAGTCGCAAAGCTGAACAATGCGCATCGGCCGAACACTAGATTCACTAGATGTTGCTCCTGGGGTTTAATGCCCTGTTACCTGTTGACAGAATCGCAGACAGCCTCATCGCTGATCTTGTCATGACTGGCTAGATCATTTCCAGCCATGCTGCTCGTCTACAGGCAAATTGATGGCATGTGCCATTAAGTGGCCACAAGACTTTTATTTCATGGCGGGGAAAACGCCAAAAATGCACAAGCCTCGAGAAACACTCGAACAGCTCACTACTCCATGCCTGGAACACAAATTCCTGAAGGTAGAGACTGAGGATAGAGAAAGTTTGCAGATACCTGCTCGACTGCTTCTGAAGATGGCATTGCTTCGTCTACCGGTCGCGGTTTCAGTGATCAAATTCGCCCAATTTGACATCCCCAAGAAAAAGCATCAACTGTACAAACTGCTTAAGAGTTATGCATGTCTTGGCGCAGCTTTTTTCTGTTGCCGACTGACATGCCCGAAGTAAGGGGAACCCAAACCGAAAAATCTGCTCAGAAGCTCAGGCCGTGACAAGCATGTCGGCTCGGAGCAGCTGTTGAGACCGGGCCGGGTCTTCCTTGTGAGGACACAAAGGGAGCCACGCTGAGAGGGTTTAGGGTTTAGGGGGGTTAAGGGTTTAGGGGTTTAGGGTTTAGGGTTTAGGGTTTAGGGGCTATGACAGTGCGGCATGCTGCCCGGTGATTTGAATCGGCATGCGGCCCCTCCCCGCGTATTCCCCCTGCTTTGGGCAGGAGGATAGCCCCCTCCCGCCACGCTCTCTCTCTCTCTCTCTCTCTCTCTATCTCTCTCGCACAATCTCGAAGCGGCTGACATTCAGGCCCGTAGACAAGAAGGAAACCAAGCGGCCTTCCCTCAACACCCTGCGCATCCCCCTTGCCCCATCAAAATGCCCCAAGTTTTCGTTCTTGGATTCAGGGGCTGTGTGTTTCGCGAAGTTCCCCTTTCTGGACAGGGGTGTGGTTGGCCACCACGCTCTGAAAGGCATTTTTGAATAGTCCGGGCAAAATACCCAAAGTCGAAACATGTCGAAACCTGAGACGGTTCTTGAACGGATTTCTTCTTCAAAGGGCACATCAAGTCACGATTGCGGAGAGTCCAACAGCCTATGACATCTTCTCCGGCGCCTGACCACTTCGCTTCCGACAGTACAATCGTCGCCTGTACGTCAGCACAGGCTGCAATTTCGAGGGCCGAAGCTACCACTACTGAGGACCACAGTGTCTGCAAGTGATGCAGGCTCCAGCGGACAAGCAGCAAGGGCCTCCTGCGAAACAGTAGATGTGCACGCGGGTGCCGGTGCTCCCTGTCAGCAAACTTGACTTTGTCACGCGGACAGATCGCTCACAAGACTAAGACAACGGGGTGATGGAAACGCATTGCGGACAACTTTCCCGCAATTGCCTGCATCGAGCACAACTGCGAAGGGCGACTGCTTCTGATCGCGGTGCCGCTGCTGAAAGATGATGGCCGGTTCCCAGGTACTGAAGGCCACGATCCTCAAACTGCCCAGGCTTTCGGCATGAAACATTGCAAGCATCTTCTAGCCCAGAGCAAGCGGCTGTGCCACGGAGTGAAGTCCTTCAGCCTTCGGCCTCAACCTTGCGATCACCTGTGGCATCCTGTGGCCTTTAGGCAGACTCCGCTCTGATCGCCCGAGGCACCCGGACACGCAGCTCGCGGCGGCTGAGAGAGCGGCACATGCAAAGCCCGCCTTCCGACACAGTCTTGGCAATCACTGTCACAGCATTCACAGCTCACACTCAAGGAGCTGCGAGCCGAACTGGTAATCGGGGTACAGAAAGCACAGGCAAGGCTTCCTGGTACATGGTTCGTGATTCGTGCCATTAATGACTCTAGTGTGAAGGGCTAGCAGCTAGAGAGATATGGCAACGCATCTCCCAATCATGTCTGCGCGCCCCACCCTCAGCCGATGGCTGCGCGCGCAGTGCGCGAGACGGGGCGACTTGGATGGAGACGCGGTCTTGAAGAAGTCCTCAGCGAAAGATTTGCACAGTAGCTTTCGGATCACAACGAGTTCAGCAGTCGAGTGCTGCGGCTGGAAACTAGATGGCCAGGGGGTTGTAACTTAGCACACTACGATAGGTTCTCCGAAACCTGCCTGCAAACGGTGGAACATGGTGCAGGTCGACCCGACATCCAACACTCTGGCTGAAGTAACGTGCAACACTTCAATCCGCAACAAGTGCGCGTGTCCTGCTCCGGCAGGGCCTGTTCGACTGCTTGTAAGTCGAGCCGCACCTGACCGCAGGTTCTATCACCATCACAGACAGCGGGGTGCAGCACCATGACCGAAACTCGACACCGAAACAGTGCGTACTCGGCCTGCACCGCTGCTTTGGCCATCGACGGCCAAAAGGCCACATCGTGAAGTTGCGGCTTGAAGTCCGGAGGGTCGCAAATGAGATGCGAGGACTGTTTGGGAATTGCTTGAGTCAACAGACCACCCCAAACGATGTCTCCCATGTAAGCTGGAAGCTGGGCTAGCTTGCATCGGGCTTGCATCGTGGAGAGCATGTTGCACATGCTGCCAGGCTCTTTCAGGTGCATGGAGCTGGAAGTCGCAGTCTCAGTGTGTTTGTGTGCGTGCTCGTTTGTGCTTAGTGCATGTTGATGCCGAGGGATCGGTTGGGTATCTTGAGCTGCGGTAGGCCTATTGGCTTGCGGAGCCCGTTAATGTTTTCCCTCCGGGTGAGCCACCGGCGGCTGCAACGACGCATTTCGGCAGAGAATCGGCTTCCGGACGTCTTAGCATTCGTCGGGCTTGGCGCATGCAGATTTGACCAAGTCAGATGTGCGTCCAATCTGACGGAAGACAAAGCACTCGACAGCACATGCTGCGAATGCAGAAGAAGCCGTGTCGTGCGTGTGCGGAGAACTTCCAGCCTCGCCAAAGCCTGCATGCGCTCAAGAGTGGCTGCACTGGGACAGTCAGTGGGACTCTAGCACGTTGCGACTTGCGACCACCACGGCTGGGGTTGCCAAGGTATGGCATGACTGTGACAAGGTGCGCAGACAGAGGTGGACAAGATCGAAACTCTTGAGGAACCGATCGCAGTCACGAAGTCCGAAGTGCGCAGCCAGCGCTAGGCTCAAAGGGCCGGGCATTGCAGAGTGGCAGAAGCCCATGATAGATTCGACAAGTCGACTGGGCTCATCTGGGCCTGCACAGCACGCACAAGTTTTGCGGCCCTTTCAGCATCCAACAGAATCCCACAGCCAGATACTGGGCTACCCAAAGGGGGACCCCCAGCTAAGACGCCAATCTGCGCATGCCCGCCATCAGGTCGCTGGCGGCGGCTGTGAGAGCATCAGCCAGTGCTCTGCCTGACTATAGTAGCGGATTGAGACGCACGGATCCTTCAGAAATGCATCCCTAGTGGCGTACTTTCTGCCTGCCCCAGCAACTCCAGCATCCTAAGTGCAGTCCACACGCCTTCCGCCATCAGCTTCGCCACGGCCCACAAGATATTCACCTTTGGGGATCATATGCAGGTCTCGTGTAAAGGCCCCTAGAAACTAAGGCCTATGGAATGCAGACACTCAGAAGCCACGAGCCATGCAACAGAAAGTAGCACAAAGTAGCAAGCATTCTTCGGCATGACACTGCCAACTAACAAACCTGGCCCGTTGATGTGGTGCAGTGTCATGATGTTCAGGCATGCAGGACCTACTCAAGGCTGCGACGACACCCTGTGTGCCAAGTTCCCCAAGGAGGCGCCAGGCGGCCTGAGCAACACAGGCAAGCCTCTAGTTCTGATGTGAACACGCTTCGGCATGGACAGATCTGCTCGGACTCAGGCGAGTGTTGCCGCATCCGTCACCTCACTGCAGCGACCAGTGGTCAACGGTTTTGGTCTGCACGTGTCGAGGATCTTCGCACCCCATGATTCCGACAGTGCGCCATTACTGATCACACTTTTCCGACAGAGAAGAGACTTCGCGAAGAAGTTCCAAGAGGAAGGGTCTCGCATTTTAAGTAATTCACTTTCAGGAACCGGCCCGAGCACTCGCATAAACTGCTTTGGCAGGACCCCAGGCAGTAGTGGCCACCTTGGACGTCAACCGTCAAACCCGATTGCACTTCTAACACTGAGCCGTCGACGTGTTGTGAAGTGAGCTCCAGGATCTTTAGCTGCACCTGGACCCTGCGTTCGGGAATTTGCGCCTAAGTTTCGTCGGTTGGGGCTGGTAATATCTGCAAATATGACCATTGGCAGCTGGCTCGGTATTGTAGCACCAGGTCTAACATGATCTCCAGTGAGACCGCAACGACTTCGCAATGCAGGCAAAGCATTGAAGGACAGGTTTGGGTATGGGCACGGGGAAGTCACACGGAACATCCGCCTGATCGCATCCATCAGTGGCGGCCTCAGCCTGAAGTGGAACACTGGCAATGAACATTTAGAGGCTCACTCTGTCAACTGTCGTCTATGCGAACGGATCATTGCGGCTTCTGGGGGAAACTATGCCTTTCAGAAGCACCGAGAAGGCTCTTCCAAGTCGGACCTCTCGCTCCTTGCGTCAGTATACTCGGCTCCCTGCACGTTCAACGCAGCAAGCGCCCGTGCCGTGTTGGCGGGGCCTTCCATGGTACGTGCTGCAAATTGTCCGCTCCGGGTGTACATGTAGACTTATATATCTCGAACGGGTAGTGCGTGATTGCATACCTACATACGTACAACCATCCATGCATCCATGCATACATGCACATGCAGAGATACAAACACGCATGCATAACTACATACTCGCAAGCATACTCAGTTTTGATAGCGTCTCACATGAGCTCCTCTGTCTGTCAACTTGATACCTTTGAGTATGCCACGACACAACTACATGAGCAGCAAACCCAGGAACCAACATGGCATTGATGGCCCAGCAGCTGTGTGGAAAGACTGCACCTGTGCCCGTATGGAGCCGGGAATGTGCCTTGCCGGTCTGCTTTGTCAATGCTTTGCATCGAGGCATCGGCAATACCTCAAAGGCAATGCGAAGGCAACTATCTCACAATTTGTCAGTTCCCCCAGCATGGAACCCCTCCCTTCCAAATGTTTAGCTTTGATCCAGGTGTCTATGGGGTGCCTTTGTTTCATCATCTTGCAATACTCAATTTTTTTTACAGTCTGCAGAAATCGAAGTCATACGGCCCTAAGGCTTCTGCTCCTTGCAGTCCGATGCAGTTCTGGATTGCTGCTGCGTGGGAAGGCGCAGGCGGTCGCTGCTGAAATCGTAATGTCGATACACCATGACACACCCAAGTATCGAATGATCCGGCCAGCGCCAGCGGCCGCATCCAAGTTTAGTCTTAGCCTGATGAATGAGGCAGAACGTGGTTCGCTTTCGGATCAGGTGGGCAACCCCGAACATAATGGCTAGCACCAGGGCTCCGCAATCTAAACACGCAACACGGAGAAGCCAGGGACCACGCAGTCCAAAGGCAGCAAGCCCTTCAGGCCGGTTTTTGCAGGACACCGTGCCAGGTTCGACCTTACAACAGTTTTCCGGCTGGGTCGTTGCCGCCACTGCCTACGGTGCCGTTGTCGAGTTCCCCGATTGCGGAGTGGGAGTTTCTGTGTTTGTTGCCACACTTGCGGGCACTGCAGTGTCGGCTTTGGCAACAGCTTTTGCAATAGTTCGCAGACCTAGTAGTTGTGAACCGGAGATTCGACCCGATCCGACGCAGGGACAAAGCCTTTGCATGTTACAGGTGCCGCCTTCTTTCAGGATGCATGGTCCGGGCACTCTAAGAGCTCGGAAACCGACGAGTGCTGTGGCGCGAAGGTCTTGATTCTCAGCATGCCCTGTGTAGAAGTCGCCGAAGGGAGCACTCTGCCCTGCCAGCCTGTCCAGTTTCAGAATTCGAAATGAAACGGATGCCCATGCAACGCTCCCAATGGCAAATACTCATTTACCAGGATGGCAAGCGTGCAGGTTCAAAGTTACAACCGATGGCTCGGCTCAGTGGATGTATGTGCCGACAGCATGGGGTTTTTCCGCTTCCATCATGCCTGGTGTTCTCGTCCCCCATGCGACCTGTTCCAGCAGCCATGCAGCTCGACGACACATACCGACCCGACCTACGGTTTCTGGCACTGTTTCTGGCAAATCGTCTGACAAGCACACAGCCTTGAGAGGTGGCTGAGGTGCAGGCATTGGACAAGTTTTGTGGACCTCCTTCTGCAATCCGAGCTGCTGCGGAACGTGAAACCTCACGGGGCTGAGGGTCCCAGTGCTTTCTCCGACATCCTTAGTGATTTAGCATTTCTGTGAGTGGGTCTCGTGCCGACGAGACTTCTGAAATGCGCAGGAAAAAACGACCAAGCTTGACACAGTCACAGCACCAAACCTTCACGCTCATATGGCGAATAGCTTGTCGGTGATGCACAGCTGGCGCGAATCTACAGTTGAATGCCATTGATCTGCCGTACAGCCAAGACCCAGGTCTGAGGTCGCAACCTGTTGCGACAACGAAGCCTGCACAGCAGGTCGAACTCTTCTGCATCAGCTTTATGCTTGACTTGACGCATTCCCTGTGGCTGCAAAGGACAGAGCATATCTCGCCGTGCCAAGATCGAAGGAACCAGGGCCGGGGCCTCAACCTAACGCTGCTTGGCAAGCCCCCAGCCTTGGAGAGACGGAAACTTATCCCATTTCTCCTGTCTTTATGAACTCAAGTTTGATTCTTGGGTGGGGTGGGGTGCAGGAGCTTGCTGTGAGGGCTGCTGGGGATAGGAGGGCAGGGGGGCTGGCGAGGGCCGCCCATCCACAGAGTGGACAATGCGTCTGCCAGGGTCCAGCTGCAGTTGCTGCTCCCTAAGCTAGGGCTCCCTGAACGAATGCTACTTGTGTTCCAATCTGCAGGCCGGGGAGTGGACAGATGTTCGCCAAGTTCCGCATCGTGGGCTCATTCCTCGGCTCGGGTCTCTGGGCCCAGAACGGTTGCCACTCTCACAACTCGGACATGCCAGGCGAGGTCTCGCAATGTCTGATCGGCCGAGGTGGTTTAGGGTTTAAGGTACCAGATAATTACAAAGAAACATGAGCAGGAGAACGACAACTATAAGCACTCGCGGCCACAAGTACAGCAAGCCTGCGACTGACAGCTTCGCGTACATTATATGTTACACGGTGCCTGCTTAACGCAGCAAGCAAGTTCTTCAACAAATCTTATGGCCCGAACCCTTCTCGTCCACGGTGATCGCTATAGCAGGTATGAGGATCTCTCTAACTCGCCGGCATGACTCAAAACTCACGGCACTCAATAGCCGGACAAAGAACCATCGAGAATCTCGACCTTTGCTTCACATGGCGAAACAGACGAAGAAGTAAATCCCTGACGCCCACTGGGAGCTGCGCACGAGACAATGCGCATTCTGCCTGAAGGAAAGATGCTTCAAGCGAGACGGGCAAGTAGGATCGACGACTGTCCAATCAGAATGTCTCCCCAAGGTCCAAGTCATCGGTTCACGGTTAAGTCTTTGCCAGTTTCTGCCCTGCTTGATTCTTCAACACGCGCACCTGTCAAGAAAGTAGATCAAACTCAAACTTAATCCGGTTTCATCAGCCGAATTCCGCACTAGCTCCCTGGGTGGCGACTGGGAGCCAAGCGCGAGCAAGTCGAGCAATGCTCAGCCAGAGAGCAGCAGCTTGGTCCTTGATGAAACTATGGCTGCGGATGCATGTTTCATCCATGCAACCAGCCATCAATGAAAGAGGTGCGAGAGTAAGCTCTTCTGTGCAAGCCTGGAGAGCTTCGTTCCAAGTAGCCAAAGCAAGCCCGTGCAGTGATGGCAGAGGGTTTGTCCGACATATTGCCAGCTACCTACTGCCAAGCTTAGTGTCTGAGGGTACATCAACATCTTGGCTTGTACCAGCAAGGCGTTTGGAACCTGCGCACACCAAACACAAACGACTGTATTTGCATCCTGGGCTGCGTGCATCGCCCACGCAAAGCTCGCACATCCCTGTGGATCGACTTCTCCCTGGCTCTGGTTAAACGGAAGGATTATCTGGTTATCAACATTGAATGGCTCCTATCAGATATGGTCTGCCGGAAGGGGAGAACCGCTGGCATGGCACCTCCCCAACTATCAATCAGGGTTGTAAAAATAGGCAAATCGGGGCTTCAGAACAGTACCCCCCCCCCCCCCCCCCCGAGTGTCCGCAGCAACATGGTTCCTGTCATCGCAACCTGGACATCCCAAAAGATCAACATGTGTCCGGGTTATCCGGCCGTGTCAGGTACGTCGCTGTCATGTTCAATCAAATGGCATACTGTGCTGTGCATGCCATGTCCATTTGACCCGACAGTGATTCTGCCGAGCTCTGTTAGGGAACCGTGTCTTTCAAGCAGGCCTATATCTGTTCGAAAAACGACATAAGGATGTCGTGCCCGATCTCGCGCAGCCACAAACCGAGAGCTGCCTCAAAGAACTGGACGGCCAGGGAACGCATGAGGCCTGCGTCTCTCCGCATGTCGCGCAAGAGTAAACCCCGAAACAAAGCTTCGGGTTTTTGCAGACTGGACACTGAGTTTTTGAGGCTAGTTTCTCTCAGCATCTCAGGCTACGGCTGTGATCTTGCACTCGGTTCACAGCCAGCGCATGCGCGGAGTTCGTGAGACCTCAGCCATCGCTTCGGGAAAGAATCCAGCCGGTGTTCTGCATGGTTAATCTTCTACTCTGCTCAAAACCAAAAGTACGAGCCCCCCCCCCAAGAACCGTTCTGCCATGGCCTACGATTCCTCACATCATTCCATGCGTTCCAGACTTCTTCCCCCTCTGGCGGAAATTCCTGGTTCTTAAATCCGACTGCTTCTGCCGCTCGATCATGTGCGCTTGTTTTGTCATCCCGTGCTGATCCGTGCTGCCCAACTGCAAAAATAAAATCCCGGCGCCTACGTGTTTCAAACCCCGGCAACCACCAGTTGTCAGGCACATGCTTTTAAGATGCTGTGTTGGCCGGTCGGCTTGCCAAGTGCTTGCATGTGAGCAAAAGCCGGAGTCGACTGGACCTCTGTCGGTGCGTCTCCGTAGCTTTTCTTGTGCTTCGGGCCACGGCCTCGAGGATCATGCTCCGTCTGTGAAATTCATCTCCTCAGCAGTTGGCTTCGGGCTTCAAAGCCCTGCAGCAGGGCGTGGGGCATGTGCAGCATGCAGAACGTAAAGAAAGCTGAAGCTGGAAGGCAATGCGCCCTTGGGAGCCTGGGATCTGGTCACCTAGTTCTTGGACAATATCCGACACAATCTGACACAGAAGCCTGGGCGCTTGACGGAGTGGGAGGGCGTCCCGCCGATTGCCTGCCCAAGCCATGTAAGGAGGCAGGTTCTGCACGCCATCCGCGCAGTTATGCTCGAAGTCCCTCGTTTTGACCTTTCATCCCTGAAACCCGATCAAAAAGCTACTTCATGTCTTGCAAATTATTTCGCATGCTCCAAAGCATGGGCACAACCCATTCTCAAGCATCTCAACCTTAACTAACACCACTCAAATGTCCTTTCATGCTGAGAAAAGCTGTCTTTCGAACTCCTCTGTGCGAAATCTTTGACGGCCTGTTGCCAGGGGTCCAGGACCTCTGACGGCCTCCCGGTGTCGATCCTTACACGAGAGCATGGAAATGTGGGTCCATGGGCACATGTAGTAACGCTTCAGACGTCAACGAGAAGCTGTGCTATCCGTCCGTGCCCATGTCCGTCGGAGATGAAGCTGGAATCTGGACCTGGCACTGCACCTTTCCCACGCAAAACGTTTTGCACAAGCTGCGCAGACCGTGCTGCTGTGCAGCTCTTTCAGTGTACATTTCTTTTCGTCTGAGCGAGCTTTGCTTCCTTGGCTTCCGGCTCATCACAGCACCATGGCGACCAGGGCAATCATCAAAGCTATGTGCGACACCCCAAACCGCCCTGGATTCCGTAACGATGCAACTTTCATTTGAGAGGAGGCATCTTGACGCTGCAAGGTGACCTACGACGTTCTTGCTCTCGTATCCACTAGCTCAGCTGCTCCCTTTTGCAATGCATCGTCGCTGTTGCGATGGACATTCACTGCATGACTGTCAGTCAGTGCATGTGTGTGTGTGTGTGCGTGTGCGTGTGTGTGTGTGTGTATGTGTCTGCAAGTGTGTTGCCCTTGTGGGCACACGTCCCCGGCATGTTTAGTGACCCTTGTATAATGTGCTTGCTGCCATGGATCCATCATCGGTATATCGGTCATATTCAGATTCGGATGCTATTGCCAGACACCGTCTGCAAGCAGTTCGGACCAAAGCTGGTTTTGCACCATGTCGCTGTCCAGCTGCCTCATGAGCCTCGATCGCATGGAGCCTCGTCTAAGAAAGGCATGCACGCGGAGAACAGTTGGCTTCCGGGGGGGCTTTCGTCCACCGGAAGTGTGGCTTTAAAAGCGCCGTAAAAAAGTTTGTAGGCAGGCGTTCACTCTGTCTCAGGAAAACATTGTGTGAGACAGCAAGCAAAAGCTCGAATTGACGGCGGCGGTGTTTGGGTCGACGCCAGAACCCCGCTCTCTTCAATCAAGAACACTGAGAAAGCCATTGCTCCTGCAACAACGGTCTGTGCTGTCCACAGCGCGCCGATGTCTGCACGGGAATCAGGCATGAACGACACTCGAGCAAAAGGGTGTGCAGCACGCAGTCTGACGTGTCGTGAGGAAATCTAGAACCTAGTGAGTTTAGTGGTGAGCTGGACGTCTTACAAGCTTTACGCATGAGTCGGCAAAGCCATGCGGTCAGGCACTCCAAGCGTGCCCAGCCGGGGGACCTTGCAAAAGGTGCGCAAGTTTG